GCCGCTGTAATGTACCTAATAGAACAGATATTTCTTTTATTAACCCAAATGGAATAGGCTGGCACAAAATGAAATAAACCATGCATATCCGTGTACAGAGAGATTCTGTTAATGGCCACTTTTGTAGGCAAAGTTTGATCGGCTTCTAATTTCCCCTTGGCCCACTCTGCACAGACGGTGAGAGATACAATACCAACCTACTGCCATTATGAACCCTTGCTCAAACCCTGCCTTAATTTCAGCATTTCTTGGCCTCTTTCCTGCCAACTACATACATCAAGAGAGTTACTGCATGGAAGTCAAGGGAACTCTGCTGGTTTTAATGGGCTGACGGGAGAAAAATGGGGTGATAGCAACCGTGACTGAAGCAGCATGTGCTTTCCAGTCCACCATGGGCACTCCACCTCACTGCAGCGCTTCGGTTGCTCTGATTCCCAACCCCGCCAGCAGTGGCATTTGGAGCAGTTTGGGCTCGATGGGAAGTCTGAGACCGTATCATAGAAAAGTGGGGCTGAAAGGCACCTCTGGAGGTCATCTAGTCTCACCCCCTGCCCACTGCACAGGAAGTCAGCGGGGCCTGTTAACCACTGTCCAGGACAAAGGCTGGACAGTGCAAAGGAGAGATGGAAGTAACAGCCACACAAAGGAGGGAACCAAAACTGCTATGGATGCCAGGGGCTGGGAAGGGCTGCTGTAACCCTAACCTAGTAGCAGACAAATGAAGTTGCCCAGGTCACAAATGACTGCCCCAGCCATGGGGCTACAGAGGTGTTCACTCTCTCTCTCTCCAACAGATATTTAATGAGCTACATCAAGCTCTGCAGCCTAGAGCAGGTGGATACTGGAAAGGACCACACCGAGCAGCAGAATGAAGCAGAGATCCACAACTGGCTTAGTTATGAAAGAAAGTGAAAGCATCTGGGACAAGCTTATGGAAGAGATACAGAAAAAACAGCCCTGGCTGTTCAGTTAAAGCAGGGATGGAAAATTAATTTGGCTGGAGGGCCACTTAGCAAGTTTTGGCTATAGAGGGCCGCAAGGGTGGTCCTGCCTCTTGGTGGGTGCCCCGCCCCCTGGCCACTACCTTGGAATCAGAAGTCCTGCCCCCTAGCCCCTGACTTTTGCCACCAGAAGTCCCTCCCCTTGCCCCAAGCAGTATGCCTTTTGGGAAGGGGGTATGCCATCTTGGACCCAGAAGAAAAACCGAATTATATACTAAAAAATCAAACACTGACAATAACATATTTTAATTTTATGTAAAAAGATATTTTTGTCCTGATTTGTGTGGTATACACAGAGGTGACTGCATAGTAGCTCAAAATGAAGTCTTACTCTTGTATATGGTGGGGGGTGTAGAGGCAAGGCTGGGTGGGTATGGAGTTTGTGGGAGGCTGCAGGTGTGTTTGCAGATGTGTGTATGTGGGGTGTGAGTGTGCGTGTAGATGTGGGTGAGTGGGTGTAGGGGGGCTGTGGGGAATGTGTCGGGGACTGTGGGTAGATATGGGGTTTGTGGAGGGCAGTAGGGTGTCTGGAGGTATGTGGGGGTGTGGAATATGCATGGAGGCGTGGTGTTTGTGGGGGGGTGATTGTGTGTAAGGGATGGTGTGGTTGTGGGGTTTGAGGGCATGGTGGGGTGTGCATGGAAGCCCCCCACACATGCCCCCTGAGCCACCCTGCGACAACCCAGAGCCTGCGCACCCTGAGGTGCCTCCCTGCCACCACCAACAGTGCAGCCCCAGCACGCCTCGCACCTTCTCCATACTCACCCCCATCAGCGTGGATCAGCTGGAACCTGGGCACAACCTGGACCTGGCCTGCTCTGCACCGCCCACCTGTGGGATGGCCTGCCACCCCCTAACCACCCAGTGGGACTGAGGCAGCTCCACGACAGGACTGCCCTTCTAGGTTGCCCAGGTGCTGCCAGTGACTTCTGGCCACCAGCCCCAGCCCTGCAGTACTGGCAGGGACCTATGATGCACAGCTCTGGCACCATGCCTGCTCCAAGCTCACCTGCCCAGGCTCAGCAGGGACAGCGTAGTCAGAAGCTGCTGCTCGGCACAAGGTAAAAGTGGCCCCCTCCCCCTTGCTGCTGCTGGCATTTCCTGGTGCAGCTGCCCAGAGCCCATGCGGGGTTGCCCTGCATCTACACAGGGTGTCAAGAGACTGCAGCAAGGCGGTAGCCCTAGACTTCAAGAGGGCCAATTTCAATGAGTTGAGATTAGTGGGAGAGGCGCTGGGGTTCTCGAGAGCAGGGGAGCTCAGTGCCCAAGATGAGTGGTCGTTCCTTAAGGAGATAATACTCAGGGCCCAAGGGGTGACCATCCCAACAAGAAGCAAGGGGGGCAGGAGTGCCCGAAAGACTCCCTGGCTCCAAGGCTCACCAAGGGCATCCAGGAATAACTGATTGCCAAAAAGGTGGCGTACAACCGGTAGAAGGGAGGTGCTATCTCCAAAGAGGAGTATACCTCCTCTGCTCGGGCCAGTAGGGGGGCTGTCAGGAAACCTAAGGCAGACATAGAGCTAGGACTAGCATCCAAGATCAAAGATAATAAAAAGTCCTTCTTCAAATATATAGGGAGGATGAAGAAAGCACCGGGAAATGTGGGGCCCCTGCAAGATCCTCTGGGCAATCTGGTGGTTGCACCAGAGGAGAAAGCAGACCTCTTTAACCAATTCTTCGCCTCCGTTTTCTTGGGCAGGGACCAGGACTTCCCCACCATGATGCAAGACGGGCTCAAGGGGAACACCTCAAGACCTCTGGTTGAGGAGGACCAGGTTAGAGAGCTTCTGGAGGGGCTGGACGTGTTCAAATCAGCGGGTCCAGATGCTCTCCACCCCAGGGTGTTCAGGGAGCTAGCAGGGGTTATTACAGGGCCCTTGGCACAGCTTTACCAGCACTCATGGTGGTCGGGCCAGGTGCCAGATGCTTGGAAGATAGCCAATGTGGTCCCCCATCTTTAAAAAAGGGAGAAGGGAGGACCCGGGCAACTGTAGGTCCGTCAGTCTTACCTCAATCCTAGGGAAACTCTTTGAGAAGATCATCAAGAAGCATATCTGCGATTGGCCGACTTCAGGGATGATGCTCAAGGGCAACCAGCACGGTTTCGTTAGGGGC